AATCTTATATTTTTAATTTTATTTTATTTTTCTTACAAATGAGTCATTTGATAAGCTATCATCAACAAAAATACTATGCAATGTGATGAAAAAGTTCAATTTAAATAATATATTTAACAAAAAAAATCATAAATTATAGATCTTAAACTTAAATTATAAATATATGAAATAATTTTTTTTTTATTTTTCTATTTTTTAAAAATTTAAAGGTGGTACGGATTCTAAATTTTCAAAAAACTTGAGGGTACGTATATCGATACCTATATGTACATAAACGCATATTTATATGAAATGAGTGTTTCGATGTAAACTACAAACTTGTTAGTAACATTTAAAATTGGGCCCCCTTGAGCGAAATTCCTAGATCGATCACTGCCTAGGTCGCTAACCCGTCGCGTCCGTCTAGGAGCGTCTAGGCCGCCTAGGCGTCTTGCCGATATTTCCAGCCGATTTATGCATTCTACATGTGATTTTTTGGACAAAAAGATTATTTTTGTGTTGGGATAAAAATATGACATTCCTAAGATGTGATAATATTATTATGTCAATCATTGGTACAGCCGTGTGCCCACAGGCCACATAGATGACACATTGGATTATCCCAATCTCTATCCCTGGCGTGTGCCCACTGGCCGCATAGATGACACATTGGATTATCCCAATCTCTATTCCTGCTAGTAAGCACCAGATAAGATTTGTTAGGAAATGTTATTTCATCATATCCTGATAAGTAAAAGAGACCTGATATACATGATAAGACTCTTTATCCGTGACCCACTCATTGAGTCACGGGAATAAAACAAAAAAAGGTCACAAATTGTGCGACCCAGGTCACATTGTGACCTCGGGTCGCGACCGGTGTTTTGTGTAAAAATTGGACACTTGTCCCAATTTTATTGGACATTTCTCTACAAATAGAGATACATTTGATATAATTTTGAAAACAATTGCAATTTTTAAATAAAATAAATATTTAGGTTGGATTGGATTGAGGATAAAGATAAATTAAGTTGGAAGATAAAATTGTGTAAGTAGAATTGAGAGAAATAATTTTTAATTATTAATAAAAGAGTGGCGCAGGGGCGAAACCACCAAACATTATCAAAATAACTGTTTGCCTGTGTTTTTAAGGCGTGTTTCATAGCACTAAGGAAAAAACAATAATCTATATAATTTTTTTTTTTTGGAAAAAAAAATTCTCAATAAGTAATCATCATATAATCTGATTACAATTATTGTTGAAATAGGACATAATCTGAAACAATGTCATAATGTATTATTGTTAATTTCCCAATAAATTCGTTTACATTTTAGGACCTTATAAGCATTAAGTCAATTATTTGAAAATAAAACTAGTAATCTTCATTTGAATTGGGAGTGAATATAATTTTATTTTATCATATTTAAGAGACGGGGAGAAATTTTCAAATAAGAGTGACAAACCGGGCGACCTCCTAGGGACCCTTAGCACCCAATGGTTCACTTTTATTATTTATAATATATATTGTAATATACAAATATTCAAATATTTTGAATGTAATTTTTTTTATTCGAAACGACAGAATTTATAACTCCAAAGCAAAGACTCTACGCAAAAAACAACCCGAGCTACCATGAGGTAGGATAACAGGAACGCTAAAGTTAATGACCTAGAAAAATAAATATAAACAACTACAACAAAGTCGATAACCGTCTAATAATAGTGAGATGACCTCACTTGGTCTTTACTCGAACTGTTGTGATGGGAACACAACTTCTTCCACATCGGACGGTCTCCGTACCTACAAAAATTCAACACCTGAAATAGAGTTTTCCGACGAAGAGGCTCTGATTACTAAGTCTGAAAAAGATAAACATTGAATGTGTATAATATAATGTGTAGAGAGTCTAAAAACGTAACTAACCTACCACACCCTTTTATATAAGGAGAAATGCTATAGGTACATAATATTGTACATAGAGGTTTACATAACACTCAAACTGAGTGGGACCTACCAAAAATAAAAATCAAGTGGACTCCAATCCATGTGAGTGTTATGTACATCTCTATGTACATTTATTATGCAACTATAACATTTTCCATATATCAAGGTGTGGTTGTTCTCCAAGTCTGCCTGGAGATTTGACTCTGATGCCCGAGGTGCCCTTCCGTATGTACGAGGTGCATGGGTACAGGCGGTCAGACTTCGTCAAGTGTGCAGGTGATCGAGTCCCATTACAATAGGTAGTCCGATACTCGCCAGAGTCGGCCCTGGGGTAGGACGGGTCGGCCGACCGCCCAGGGCCCCACTTACTCAAGGGCCAATTATTATTAATTATCTATATATACATATATATTAATTATATCAAAAATAGTTTTGATAGCTTTTTTTTCTTCATTAGTAAAGGAATTTCATTGTTTTTTTTTTTTTTCTAATTTTACAAATTTCATGAAAAAATATTCATTAATTATTATTAGTAAAATTAATATGGTCATACATACTTTTTTATATTCTTTTTATTCGTTTTTCAAATTTTCTATTCTTGCTTGAATATACAAAATGTTATATCGTGAGACACGGTTAAATAATGTTGCTAATAGTCATTAGAAGAATCAATTGCAATCAACTCATTTTAAAACGAGTTTTAATTTATCGTCATTTGGTTTTCTTAGATATAAAAAATAATAGTTTTTTACTTTTTCGATAAAAAAATAAATTTTAATTTAATATTATATATGCCAATTAATATAAGAAATTATTTAAATAAAGCAAAGCTTTAGAGTTTTAACGTTATATTTTGTTTTTAAGAAAGAAAATATATCCTCCCTCCTTATCATTTGTTATTTTTAAGATATAAAATGTCATTATGGGTAAATTTTAGATTTCACAACTTTTATTATAGCTAGTAACATCATGCTTTTTTTAAGAATTTTTTCCAAAAAAAAAAAAAACCAAATGGAACATTTAGTATATTTCTCCCAGGGCCTTATGAAGTTCAAGACCGGCTCTGATACTCGCATGGCATTGTCACCAAGTTAGATGGCCTTTCATTTTGTTAACGAGTCCAGATCCTGGTCATCAGGTAGAACATCTTCTCCTCTTAGTTCCCTTACTATTCATGTGGTCAAGTCGAGCTCGTAGCGAGCTCGTGTCGTGGTTGATGATCTTCCTTCAAGAGGTCATCATCAGTCTGGTTGTTGCCTTCAAGTTGATCCTTGGTGGTGGTTCGAGCTATCATAGTCCGGTCCAACTACTTGGTTCCTTTGGTTCGGTTGACTAGTATGACATCCTATATCACTGGCATAGACTGAAGCTATAATAACCGGAAATATACTCTTGTTGCAACCGCACTAGCTATAGCCATTAGCACAAAACAAAAGATAAACCTACCATTAAACAACAGAAACTAGCTGATTTACCACTACAACAACAGAACCCAACAAGAAAATGAAGTCCAAGACCAAGCCAATAACCTACACAATAAACTGCCAAAATGAAGAGAAAACTACAAACAACAGACTAACAGCAGAAGAACTCCATTCAAGACGAGGAAGCAACTTGAAGAATGAAAAATTCAGAAAGCCAGAAATTTTGGAATTTCCATATATCTTGGCCTTCCACAACCACGAGATCAGATAGACTTTCAGCTGAACTCTATGCTCAGAGGTTGTAAAAGTCTCTAGGAAACAAAACTTGACCCACTAGTGCTTAAAGCAAGATGATTCATCCTTCAGACCATCCCAAGAAATAGCTGCAATCTCCAAGACCTATTTGGCTTTTTGCCCCTTAGAACAACCTTAATTATGTTGTTACCCGTCTTAAGTGGCAGGTGACTGACATCATTCCCTACCTGAGCCAGAAGTCCTATATATAGTACTTTTCTAGAGCTGCAGAAAGACAAAATGCATAACATCATCTGCATCTTGATCTCTGAAAGTCTCACATATCATATCACAAGCGTGCTCAGCTCTCGACTTTATTCTAGTTTGCCAGAGCTCTGAAGTCTGGTGTGCTACAGCGTCTCAGAAGTTCTACCGTTGTATCTTTCAGGACACGATGCACAAATTCGTCAGCACTATACAGTGTATATTTATCTTGAGGAAAGAGTTCTTCTCGCCTCGACTATACTCTTCTTACTTTAAGATCTATAGTATTTTTCAATCTTTAGATTATATTGCAAGGACTGAAAATATCAGTTCACTTCGTAGGTTTTTTATTGTATTCGACATACATTTTGTAGCATTTACATCGTAGGGCGAGCTATACATATTAGGTCGAGTATTAGATTTGGTATAATGGGAGTAATGGATATATCAGGAGTTGAAGATGCT